TTTATTGTTAATACGATTGTTAAGTCTAAACGCCATTACGATCGTAACATTTTGCGCCCATATTGATTTAGCTGTCATAATTAAGGTCAAGCAATTAATTGCATGCAATTACTCAAACACACCACGATTTCGATTCCATAATTTCGTGGTAATTATATCGAATTAAATAAGATTTATTGAAAGAAACGAAACGATATATAACGCGTAAGTGAAACAACAAATAAAAGAACCTGGAATATTAGTACTTTGTTTATGCTAAGTAACGATTGTGGCACTGTGAGAATTGCACGAGTTACGTAATTTTAATTAACCTGTAATCAAGATACATTCTCGTTACCTGCGTTACCGAGATAATACGATTTCTTGGATATCGTGCAAATGCTAGTTATGCATATTAGTACAAAACAAATTTGCATTTAATAATCCGTTTCGAGCCGTATAACCTCGTTCGTCGCTGAACGTAATATTTTAACAAACTGTGAAAATTTGCGTACATATTTCCGCAGATCAAGTGTACACTTTTCAACATTTTTAATTCATCTTTCAATACACTGACTTGAAGAATGATTAATAGACCATGCATTTTATGCTTATATGATAAAAATGAGTGATTAATAGCAAATAGATTTTCCGTCGTAATCTATTCTCATGAATATTCTATAACAATATCTACAGAACATAAGATTACAATTATTTTTAAGTTTCGAAGTATTAATTGCCAATTGTTTTCCATTTTCCCAAAAGTATTTAAAATTCTGGATAAATAAAAGAAAAATGCAAAGATCTCGATATTATTTTCAGTCGATGAAATGCTTCTTGCAACCGATGCAGAAATATTTTTATTTCGCACAAATGTCTAGATCTATCCAGCAAAAAACAGAACCATTAAAAAGACGACGAAGCACTTTAAATATGCCGTAATTAGCATATTCAATTTCCATCATATTTCATTCAAGCAGGAGCCCGCCAGTACATTTATAATTTGCACACGAGCGAGTACGAAGTTTTTGAAACTCGATACAGTAACCCGTACAACCTCCAATAATTATTCGGCCAAAGTTTTGATTGCATTTGAAAGGGCTTTTTCGCGATCAACGGAGCACCCCTGTTCCCCTCACAAAAGCTAATTAGGATCAAGATTAAAGCCGATGTGTGGAAACTTAATACGATTCCGACGGAAGGGGTCCAAGCCAACTAATTCACGCCAGCGAACTTCCTCTAATCTTTTATATCGCATTAACGCCATCAAATTTACACCGAGCTAACAGATGCGCCTAGATCATATTATTAAACCGGGACGCTTTATCTGAAAACGATCATTTTCAGGTATCACCGATCATCGCCAATATCGAGGAAAAATTCCCTAAAAATTTTGCTTTATTCTCGCCAAATTCTCTCTATCGTTCAATTTAACCGTTTGTTTCACGATTTATTTTCAAAGAAACATGCGTGTGCAGACAGTTTAATTAAGCGCAACTCTATGCGAGGAGTTATCACGAAATGAAACTAAAATTGTTGTGTTTTTATTCAGTATATTTTATAAATATGGACGCTATTTCATTCGTAATAAAGTAATGTTATGTCAATATTAAATAAAAATTGAAAAATTACCCCCCCTCTTTTTACATTACAATGAAATTAAGAAAAAAGTTCTTAATTTTTTTATCTCTTTATTTTCTCAAATTCTTAATTCTAATTGAAATGATTGTGAACAAAATTTACAAACTATTTAAATTCCTTTTCAATATTGTTTATTTTCTAGTAACTGTAATGACACAATTGCACTTGCAAGAGTAAATATAATAATTTTTTTTAACAGTTAGAACAAAAATTTATATGGTTTTTAGCCATTTGAATATGCGGCGGGCGTGATTTAATACAGAAAAATATTTGCGGACAAGGCTCATTTCCACTTAAGGAGTTACAAAAAATGACATTTTCGAAGTCGACGAAGTGGAATCGCTGGTTGATAGACAGAGACGTTCAAAACAGAATAATAACAGAGGATACAGCGACTGCGAAAGGCCATGAATTTCAGGTAAACTCGAGCGAAGTCCTAGTCGTTTACGAGCAAAGGCTACAACGTCCAGCGTCACTCGTAATATCTTCATATCCTCAGTTTATTCTTTCCCGGGAGGAATTCCGCGAGCTCGTAAAGCATCGCGGCCCCGTAAAACCGATCTTCACAATGCCGAGGCGTAACGTCCGCCTTTATCCCGATTTGTAAAGCTGAAGTGTTACGAGCCGCGTACAGAGAAGGATCTGCCAATAAGAACAAAGCGGAGTCGGTCGTAAACTTATGCGAAAACTGAACTCGGGCTCTGGACACCGGGCTCTGACGTCCATTGGCTGTTCGGAAGTGACGTAACCGAGACCCGGCCGCTAATCCACGGCCTCGTAAAAGGCTTCTTCATTTCCCGATTGAAAAATTAATTATACCGAATAAGAGCGAACGGAACGGGCTATAAACTCGATGAAATTTAAATTGAATCGGTGGAATCGATGCTGCGCCATCGGCTCCCCGTCCCTTCCGCCCTTTCGACATGCTTTCGTTGGTTCCCAAGACCAATACGTCTCGTCGCCCGGAAAATAAAAATCCTGGCCGGCGAACCGAACCGAAGATTCTATTATCCTTTTGTTTTTTCGAACCCTCTTTCACTTTTTACCTCTTTGTTCCTTTTTCTTTCTTCCTCTTTTACTATCGTCTCATTGCGGTTAAAAATCCCCAAAGCGTGGCAGAAACCCGTTTTCTGTGGAAACGTCATTTTAAAGAATGTTTGCTGTAACGTTTGATAAGGTTTAAGAAATGTAGAGCTTTTTAATGATTATTTACACTTGGGAGATATGACCAATAAATTGCGTGGACGCAAGATAGAGTGGGTTACGTTTAACTGTGCTTTATAAAATGTTTTTAAGAATTTTTCAAATAATTTCAACTCTTTTAGCTTGGTGCGAATACTGAATCAGCATTTTTCTTATAGTTCTTTATATGTATAGGGATATTATATGTATCTTTATGTGCAAAAATAAAAATTTGCTAGAAGACATAAATGAAACAAAAACGAACTTTTTCCTTTAATAATTTTAATAATTGAAAAATAGTGTAACAGTTACTATTTTTGNGATTGTGAACAAAATTTACAAACTATTTAAATTCCTTTTCAATATTGTTTATTTTCTAATAATTCATTATAATAAACTGATCATAATTATTTGATTTACTATAATTATAATCAAAATGCAATATAATTATATATAATTATAATCAAATTTGTTTCGATTTAGATGAAATAAATAAGATACATATATAAAATAAGGAGCCCTATTGTAATAAATATAACCAATGAACTGTCTCAAAGGCAAAATTGAAGGCTTGCTAGCGTGAATCTGGCGATGGTCATAATCATGCATACGAAATAATTTGAATTATTCCGGTTGGAATTTCGAGTTTTATAACCGGCTGGATAAATCACAGGTATTGAACTTAAAACAATTACCCGTAGACAAAAAGCACGCGGAAGATTCACGGCGCATAAAACCGAAACAAAAACGGAGACGGGCAGTTTTATTGGTGTTGCGCAAACCCGGCGTATAAATCGCATGATAGCACGAAAAGGGTGGAGCAATAATTGTTAACTCGGTGGAAGCGATTAACGAGATTCCTCTGCCGTTAAAACGAGTTTGAATACGTCTGAAAAAAAGATGTCTCTGTACGCGGCCTTCAAACAAACGATGCTTGATTACGTAAAACCCCTGATGCTCCAGCACAATTCTTACGTGAAAAAATACGGCGACCGGCACAAAGAAGGAAATTAACGCCGCCGTGTATATTCAACCCTATCGCAGAAATTTCACGAGGGAGCATAATGCATTGAGGAATATCTGTTCAGCGTTATGCATCAATTTTTCAGATGCAAGATTAATTACAATTAATATTGTACTTTAGTGATACAATTGTAACTTATTTTAATGATAAATTTATATAATATTTTAGTTTATATATTTTACTTTTATTTTATTTTATTAGTTACTTATTTTAGTTTTTATATTTATAATATTTCAGTTTTATTCTTCGTTAATTTACCTACTTTTTGTAAACGTGAATTTATTGCTAATAATATTCCGCGGAGGAAGAAATCGTTCATTGTAAAAGAAAAAGAATGTGCTACAAGAATGTGCACTGGCTAGAACAAATGATAAATCGAACAATGAAATTGTGAATGACAAATTTTGTGAAATTTAAAGAAAATTTAATACATCTTGGAGCAGTTGAAGGTGGAGTTTTCATTTTTGAGGAAGACATAAACGGAAGACAAGAAGTGCAGTCGTGTCACAAGGAAACGTTTTCAAGTGATATTTGACATTGCACGATACTGATCCCATATCTGTCGGTTTCTCCAGTGGTTTCCTCTTCCTTGTTCAACAGGATTAGGAAGCGGAAGAGGATGAAGCAGCATTTATGACAAGGTCGATAAAATTATATTGACCAGGAATTTTACTCTTGAAACCGAACTGTATTGCTATGGTCGGAAATTTTCAATATTGTACTTATTTATATCTGCTTGTATACTACTGTATAAAAAATTCCATTCAAAATCGATTGAATTTTTGGAGTAGTTTAATCAAATTTATCACTGTTTTCTGAACTCCTGATTTTAAATAAGATATTTCGTATATGAATTAAAATAATAGTTCTTCTTCATGAGAAAGGAATGTATGAGTGAATGAATAAATGAAAAGAAAATGAATGACGAATGGAAGAAATATATAAATGAAATACAATATTTTTTTACATCTGTTACAGATCATTGATTACTAAATCAGTTTATTCTGGCATGAGTTCGTAATTAAATAAGCCCATTTATGATTTAAGACAATGCTTCTGTCTTTATAAGAGAACAAGGAAATGAATGAACGAAATACTGAATAGATAGGGATAACAAAAACGAATAAATATAGATATGGATATAAAAATTGAAAAATATTAACAATTTACTTACTGGTGTAAGACGACGCATTTGGTATAGAAGAAATAGTAATCATCACCCCCAACAGGGCACCCAGCGTTGAACTGGAAAACATTTTCTGAAACAGAGAAATTATTCACTTAATAACAAATGATATGTATATATTTCCATTAAATTTGATTAATCTTTCTCGACCACAAAGACTATTATCAAAACTCCTGAATAATCGATGTTGCGCTTTATACATATTAATCGATATTAATAACTACCAGAAACATTACTAATAAGTTATTAGTAATAACATACTGTGTTATTGCTATCGGCTTCTCGTGTAAAGCAATTATGAAGCGATAACAATTCGGAGCGAATTTGAAAATATTTGCAGTTGTATTATGCAAATGATATGCATAATATTTAAGTAACGAAAATGGAGTGGATGTGTCGAATAAAAAAATACCGGTACAATAACATAATATCTAATAACCAATTCAGGGCGAGGGGAATAAATCGCTTTTAATAAATGTCTGCACAGATCAGGAATGAAAATATTTGCATAACGATAAAGAAGAGTATTGATAATGCGCAAGTAAACATCAAAAAGTCAATACAACCGCAGCATCCACAAACTCTAGATCGCCACAAATAAACTGCAATTACTAAATTTATATTCCAAAAACAACAAGTAAAACATCACATTTAACGAAAATCATAATGCACAAATACAGTGTGTACTTTCGTAAATGTACAAAAGGCATATTATCAAATCGGAAAACATTTAATATCGACTCGTATGTTGAACATTTAATATAGCCGGATTTCGATACGAAGTATAAATAATAGAAACAAATATTAAACGTTATTTCGAATTTTCAATGAATTTCAAATAACATATTAAATGAAATAAATTTTCGTTTTGGAGGAAGGATCACATAAAGAAGTGCAATTATAATAAAACTGAACAATGCTACAATTTTTCACTTTGGAGATGCACGTAACATAAACAATTATAATCGTTACAATAACCAAAATAGCTGTGTAACGAAATTGACAAAATCACAAGGAAAATAGAAATGTGATGACTAATAACAACATTGATTAACACAAAATCGAAGACAGCTAACAAATTACTGCTTAAACTCATTTATTTCAATTAACACAAAATACTACACTGTGCCAAAGTATAAATATAATAATTACAAAAACAGCTGTAGAGAAATTATCAAAATTACAAGGAAGAATAGCAGTTTAAAAATTAGTAACGAAATTTAATTATACAAAAATGAAGAAAGATCGCGAAGTACTTTTTAAAATTGTCTATAAACTAACACTCAATACCTGTCAAAGTATAAATACAATAATGACGGTAATAGCTATAGAGGTATTGACAAAATTGCAAGGAAAGAAGCAATTCAAAAGAAAGGTAACGAAATTGAATTATACAAAAGCATCGATATCGATAGCTCTCGAAGTGCTTTTGAGAATCGTTTATTTAAATTAACACCAACTGATACGCTGTATCAAGGTCCAAGCACCGCTCCGAAATTCAAATTCGACCGCCAAATTCCTTTCCCCGGATTCGTCCTTATCTCACTCGCACCGTCTAACCTCACTGTCGCCCAATCCTTGAAGCAGGTGCGCCTAACCTCAAACGCGTTGAGTAACACAACAAGCGACACGCTAATTCCCCAAGAACAGTTCCCGTGCTACATTGGAGCACTCGTCCATTTAAATGGCTAACAGAGAACCGTCCGGAATCATCGCATTGGAAACGTGATGCTCGAATCGATTGACCTTGGCAAACAGCACATACAACAGAATTGCGTCGTTCGTCGCCAGCGGCCGTATTATTTTCTATCTCGTATCTGGCACGATTATGTCCGTGTTGTCGCACGTTGCTTCCACAAAATGAAATAATAATCACGATAACAGCTGCGGTACTTACCGAAAAAAAAATTGTTGCTCGCTTTATAATGAAACAACTACTCCACCACGTAGCCAGCGGAACACTGAACACTTGGTGAAATTCAGTGTCGTTACTGGTCTGACGTTGCCGTGCACCGGAGCGAGATAGACAATGAAGGCGCGCACGAAAGAAAGAGTGGGGAACTATACCGAGAACGAGAACTATGTGGCGCGAACGTGACGTAAAAGGAAGCTGAACGCTGCGGTGAGTGCATATAATCGCTTTACTGACCTCAAATGAAAATAAAAATCTTGTCTTTTTTCCCGTTATTTTTTTTTCATTTTTTCCGCCGGGAGGATGCCTTTTCATTTTCGGCCAGACCGCCGAATTCCCGGCACCTTTTCAACCGTCAATTTTAACCAGACAGAGAAGTAGGGTTATATTTCAAATTTTCTCTACCTACGGGTGGAATTGTATTTTATTGGATAATCGTTGTACATCGTTCAGAATCGTGTAATTTTAACAGGAATCGTTTGAACAATTTTTTCGACGCGCTCGGATAATAGCGGGAGATGTAACAGTTCGGAAGAATCGATTTTTGAATACATTCGCCGCATCTCGTGCAACTTTTATTATAGATGAAAAGTAAAATCGCGGTTGATGGATGAATATTTTATTTACATTCAATTATGGAACTAGGATTTGTATTCGTTTTTGATGTACTGTTGATTTTTTTAGTCGGAGACATAGTGGATTGGGTTTTTCGAAAAGGGGATTTTAAAAAGGGTTTTCAGCATATACATTTTTTCCAATTCAAGCTTCTTTTTGTCCTCTTCGCATGCATACGGTCTTTAAAATCCTACGCGATAATCGCCATTTTAAATTCCTAATGATCTTCTAAAAAGCCCTAGAAGTTATCGTCGGCAACTTCGAAGTTTTAAAAGCCGTCGAATTTTTAATAGTTCGAGAACTCGTTCGGGTACTTAGAATCTACAACTTGCATTTCAAAATCTTCGCTCGCTCTTTCGGTAGTTAACGCATCTCTATCTCACCGACAAAATCCATTTAATATTATCTTCCCATTAAGTTATTTATCGCTATAATCGAACAATGATAATCCTATGTATACATATTTATGTATACGGTGGATTAAAAATTATGGAGCAAGGGAAATTATAATTTAATAGATCTGCATCATTTCATCCGTCATTATCTCGGCTCGAATATCGTAAAATAATGAAATAATATTGCATCGTCGGAGGTTAATGAATTTCATATCAAATCGGATTCATTCTGGAATGTACTTTTAACAAATACTTCGGAGCTGCCCAAAATTTGCCTGTATTTTCCTGTCGTCGACGTTCCGATAATAAAGAAAATAATTAACTGGTGATTAATCACAATGAGAAATCCAAAGTACGCGTTGAATCATGGAGCACGGCATTGCAAATTCATGATGTCATTCTATTTATGATGTTGAATGACAGAAACATCAAATTATTTTTTCACGAAGAACTATTGTAGATAATCGTGCTCGCAAGATACATTTTTATTTTTGCTTGAGATGTTCATTTTCATCGACTTGATCTTATTTTTGTTCACTCAATTGATGTTATTTTCATCAATTCAAAAATTATTCGAGTTAATTAAACGTGTTTTACTCGAATTAATTAATCTTGTTTTACTCGACTTAATTAATCGTGTTTTACTCGAATTAATTAATCTTATTTTACTCGACTTAATTCACCTTATTTTTATCAACGTGATGAATCTTACATTATAGAAGGATCACGAGTGCGCTATTAAACGCACTTACTACGTATAATCTACTATACAGTTCATTCTATTACGTGCCTCAATAACGTAGTTTTCTGTACGTGTCATCTACAGGCCGTGCTATCTGTTCCGATATATCTCATTCAAGTGCAGTAGAAAAGATTGCTCAAAGAATTCCTATCTGTTAGATTCATGCAAATTATGCAACAGGTCAGGCGTTGTTTATCGCAGACGTGAAATGATTTTCTGCCATTCGGTTTGCTCGCAAATATATGTGTGTGAAAATATCATTTAAACGTCGTTTGAATAACTCGTTTCGTATCATTTTTTTGGACTAAAAAATCTTTGCAATTAAGCAATTTCCAGTGACAAATTCCGGAGTTTATATACTGTCTTGTAATGTTTTCACCGTAACTGAATCCATAAAGATGAAACTGTATTGATCGTTCGAGGAATAATGTGAAACACAATGCTGCATGTAATTCGTTGCATTTTGCTGAAGCTTCCAACAATGTTGGTTTCAATTAATTTTGTATTGCTTCGCATTCTTCGTTAATATTCTTTGCAGTTCTGTTCGATATCGAATCTTCTCTAGTTTACGTAACGCTGTAATATTTCAGGATCAATTATTTCTTCACCGATTACTAATGAGCATATTGCGGAGCTTTGCAAATAATATATTGAATGTTACTGTAAATAATATATTGATAGTAAAGCCACTGAAATTTTTATTATTTCGATACTTACAGTCTGTTTTACAGTTAATATTACGAAGCATGTTTTACTGAAAAATGTACTGTTTCTACAGTAAACATTACGCAATATTAATATTACAATAATTTCTACGGTTTTTACGGTAAATTTGACAAAAGTGTACGTAAGCGTGAAAAATCTGCAGTCCATTAATCAGATTTTGATATTCTAACGCGTTGTGTAGACAAGGTTTCTTAATTAGCATATTCCGGAGTAATTTATTCTACGCCTTTGTTAATAGTTGACAAGAAAATTTCAGTGGTGAAGTTCGTGACTAGTAACTCGGTTACATTAAACTTGAAAAGCGCAATTTAATGGAGTTCCCAAGAGGGTGAATAGCCAGAATCTTCAAACTTGATAGAATCTGATATACACAGCTGTACAGTGCGGAATGTTTGTTGATTATTCAAGCAAAGTAATACCGAACATTCAACTACCTATTGACATTGTACGTACATTGTTTAAGAATTAACTCTCGTCTCTCTCTCTAGAGTTAATCCGACACAGTTCCCGCACGTACCGAATAAATAGCATGTTCCGCTATTGATTGTAAATGATGTAAGCAATCCTACGTCAAACTTATCTCGATTCACTTTGGATGTGAACTCTAATTAAATTAATGGAATCCTCGTCATTACCTATATCAATTTAACTCTGAGAAACAACTTGGGACTTTAAAATATCGTGTTAAGACTGCAGGTTTCCGATGAAGATTTCAAAAGCAGAATAATCTAGACACGTATTTATTTCATTTAAGTTCTTGTAGTATGATTCCTTTCACAGCTAAGTCAAATAGTACTTCTCTGTTGTTAATAAATTTATGATCTATGTGAATAATATAAAAAATACATTTTATTTGTGATCTTCATGTCCGTATATCAATTGCTAAATATCGACCTGAGAGAAATTTAATTTAGTTCTACTATTTAAACAAAGTGAACAACGTGTATACGTAGCAGATTATGTTCAGAATGTTTGTAGCTAGACTGGATTATGGTGCAAGGAGTTGATATTTAACCATTGGAAAATCCATACAATAGACATCAATTTCCTTTTCCATGTAACAAATTATGAATGACAAAGAAGTTCCACTCGCTGTCACTGGGAAAGAACAATCGTAGAGGAAAGAGTTAATTAACCTCCTGCGCCCTACACATTACTAGTCAATTAGTGAACAGTACGCCTGGCCTTTAACACTAAACCTACCGAGCACTAAAACTGACCGACATACGTTGTTTTATGAGAATGATAACACTGAATTTATTTAGACACGTCTCCATTTTTATTTCAATGTATATTAAGAAAATTATAAGAAATCTATTCAATCGTTTCTTGTAACAGTGTCTTGAATAACAAATGTGAAACCGGTTAAAATGACTAGCATGGTAGATCTAGTGTTAAGAGCGCAAGAGGTTAATATTTAAATATTGATGAATTGACTTTTTTGTAAAATAGTTACGTAAACATTAATTTCTGTCTTAACCCCCTGCAATTTACGACTTCTTTCAGAGCTACGTTAGCACTTCTTCGTTGTTAATAATTTCTCCAATTAATGCAGACAGTTTTTGTTTCTTGTATGCCTTCATTTACTTTCTTCCCTAGATTTTGGCAACAAAGGAATCAAAATATTCTTCCGATTTAGAAGAATTTTAAAATAAAGTTAAATTAAACTTAAGATGAAGTTGCACTCGCAATTATTTATCCTCAGCGCCGCAGACATTTCTTCCTTCCCAATAATCTCAATCTATATCATGGTTTTCGTCTCGTTCACATCCTAATTCTGATCTATATTCAATAATTTTTCAAAACATATCTTTGAAGGTACTTTCGGCTGACTCATTAGCCCCTCTGTTCTTCCTAACATGACAACAATTTATTTGATATAATTTCCGAAAATTGAGTAATTAGATGAACGATTTGAACGTTCTGGGTCCAAATGACCCGGGCAACCGCAGTACGAGGGTTAAATGCAAGCAGGTTTAACAATGTAAACGTTATTGCGAATCATGATATTTCAATGTTCAACGGTGACCTAGCGTCATCACTCGAGATCAAAGGGTCAATCTTTCGTCCGCTACCGAACAAGGTGAAAAAAATAACTGCGCGAAGGAGAAATTGGAGAACGTTCGCTCGAAAATTCCGCCGATAGCCCGAGATATTTCCCGACAAATATTTTGACCGGCTCGGAATGTTCCGCAGTTACCATAAAAAGGCCAGGTACGGGTAACGATTCCGGGCAGATCGGAAACGGTTCCCGTGAAACTTTCAGCGGAGTGTCCACTCCATTGGCAAACTATCCCGCACGTTGCCGCAGTCACGTCTGCCGAGGAATCTCATCGGCGAGGAGTTCCGTCAAACTCTCACGTGTCAGAACGTTTCATCCCTGTGGAAGGCCCGCGTCGGTTGGCACGACGACGACGACGACGACGTGGGCTTTTCGTGCTTTCAATGGCAGGATGTTCGATCTGGAGACTGCGCAAAGGTCTTCGGTGGTTCGACACCGGGGATGGAAACCTCGGATGGTAGGGAACGAGCCGGGGCGGGATGGACAGGGGGTTGTGAGGGGGAACTTTCGCAGAGACGGCTTCGCTGGATGAGCGTTTGGTAGTGGTTAGTCTCACAGTCACGCGCACTGGAGTCATTTCCCTACCACCCCCGCCGAACCCCTTCTACACCCACATGCTTACGCATGCTTCTAATATACATCTTTTCCCGTTGTTTCCTTTCAGTTTCACATTTGCACACTGCACGCTCCCTCCATCAGCATTCTTCCATCCAATGTATTCCATATTTCAGAGCCCACTGCGTGTATCGTGTCCCGTATACTCGCATGAATGCATAAAAGCTATGAACGACCGTTTCACCATTCTCTCGCGATCTCTCCTTCAAGGAACGACCGGCAACGCTCGACGACTCCATCGCTACCCTAAGCGCACCGCTCGGCAGGACATAATCGATCCGCATGAAATAATTTCCTCCTACCCGATTTTTCCACCCCCTGTCCCGCGACCCTTTGATCTCATTCTTAGAGCCTGCATCCTCGACCCCTATCATCGCGTACCAGTCTCTGCGACTATCTCGCGCATCATCCTGCATTAAGGTAGCTGCACCCAAAGTGATTCGTTTAGACATTTTTTGAAATCTTGCTAATATGACAACGCTTGGTGCGTCGAGTCTCCGTCAGAACGCAGGAGGCTAACCCTGGGTATTTTTGGACCCGCGCTAAGCTATACTTTGAAAATAGTGTTTCTATTAAAATTATATATTATTATTAGACACCGGATCTTCATGCAAACGGTCTATTTCGGTTACAATGAATTGAGGTCGAATAAAAATATGTTTCCTCTGTTAATAAATTTAGCAAGTTGTAAATAGTATAACAGTATTTTAAAGATCTTCGACTGTTTTCATGGTTCCATGTTTCATACGCTCATTTTTCTTACAAATGCATAATTATCATGTATCTAAAGGGAAATTATTCTTCGTTCGCCATTTTCATAACATATACACGTAACCGTACGTTTTTAAGGGAGCATTTCCCTGTTCGCTTCTACGCTGATAGGAACTGCGTTCAGTGAGCGTAACATACTTCAGAGATTAAATGTGACCCAAGGGTTAACAGGCTGAGGGTTAATATAAGCGTCATCTATGTCTTAGTTAAAATTTGGTACGTTAAAATTTGTTAAATTTTAGCGAAATTCCCCATCTGAAATTCGAAATAATCGCCGTCGAAGTTTGAATCTTCAACCCTTCGTTGCATGAATTTTTACAAGTTAAGAAGATACAGCTGAAAATGTCAAATCAGCGAGGCCTACAGGAATAATATGTTAACATTAGTTTTATACTAGTTTACAAAACTAAGAACAAGTAAGTAACACACACATTGAATAAATAACTCATGAACGTATCTTCGCAATCTGAACAATCGTAAATTAAAAATTTACTGACCCGCCATCAAGGCGATTGTACATCTCGAATTTGAGACGGTGAAATTCCTTAAAATATGAACAAGAGGCAGATGAAACTTGCATTACCATACTAGCATAATTTCAAAGGATTCTTAAATAAATCACGTTCGGGCGCGACTGCCTTAAGCGTTCAGCAATCGTTTCTTCGAAAATCCTGCTTGCTTATTCCGGGCCATCGAGTCCGGTCCACTTTGGTAGCCAAGCAGGCGTCCGCTTTCGGCGGCCGTTGCTCGGCCCTTTATCCTCGTCCTGGCATCGCATCGGTGCGTTTCTCCCGCGTGAATGCGCGCGCGTCTCGCCGCGCTTTCGAGAGGGTGCTGCGCGGCCGACGGGCGTCGACCGGTAGTCGAATTTGTAGCTTCCTCCAGGCAGGTGCACGTCCGTTCCTCGCGGGAACGAAGCCGACACCGAAGCCGAAGTTGAAACCGAAGTTGCAGCGGAAGCCGGCGCCGACGACGCTCCTCTTCGCCTTCGGAGGTTCTAGGGTGGCGACGGGTGGGGGTGTGTGCCACCCCTGGTTTCTTCTCGGCCGAGCATTCAGTGTTGCTTCTCGGTGCACGAGTTCGCGTTAACGATCGAGGAAGCGCGGTACTGCGAGTGTCGCAGCGCCGTGTGGACTCTGCTGCAGTCAGTGATCGTGGAGGGTGCCGAGAGAGCGTACGGGGTGAAAGAAAGGGGATGATCGTAGGTGCGCGCGCGAGACAGACCGTCGCACCGCTCCTCGCCGAGAGGATTGTTTCCTGAGGAAGGAACACCGGGGACAGCGTTACAAGGCCCGTCGAGAGACTTCAGGTATGTTTGAAGAACACTGCCTTTGCCAGTCAACGAATCTTCAATCCTCCGCGGCCCTGTTGATCTTTACCTACCGTTTTCCTCTTCCTTCTAGCGAACCCCTGTATCCGCGACGTTTGTCTCGCTGTGTGCACAGGATCACTCGAATTACATCGATTCTACTCCACTTGTTTCGCCACTGGGGTTATATTCTTGACTCAGCCGCGGAACAAACAACACCTTGCGCCGAATGTTTAGGCTCGAAACTCTGTTCTGAAGGATCCCAAGTGGTTTTATTATCTCCTTTTTCCGCGGCCTCTTCGACGTCGCGTTGACAACGGAGCTATTTAGCGACGGATTTGAATCGGAAAACTATAATTTGTCGTATACAATAGGGGGTAAATATATGCGGACACCCTTTAACCGTAGGATGATTAATGATTTAAGAAGAGCGGAGCCGTTTCATAAATCACCTAAAACAAAAGTTATTTATTTATTAAAAAATTATTTTTCACCGGATTTACATTTATATTCATTAGGTCACATGTTTTCAGTAACTTTTCTTTGAAAAAAACGATATTATGTTGTAGCGAACGGGTGGAAAGAAAGCAACAGATGCGCTAATTTTATTAGAGATTTTATTGCAGACTCGGTGATTGATAAGTCTCCGGATCGCGTAAACACTTCTTCCTAAAATTGGACTAAATGACTTGAACTTTTTTAGAAGCTAGAAGGACCAGTCTACTAGAGAATGACTAAAATGTTTGCTTTTAATTTTGCATACTACTTGGAATGACAGAAAGAAGTTAAAAAACTCACGTATTTTTAACTTTCCTGTTTGAGTCTATAACAAAAATTTAAAAAAATGCGTTCTGTAGATCCCGGTAATTTGTTTGCATGCCGAAAATTTCATCGAAATCGGTTCACGTTGTCATGGGTTACAAACAATTAAAGATCGCAGTTTTGTCCCGATTTTTGACGCTTCCGACCGATAACCATCAGAAATCTGCAGTTTTAAACATTTTTCGACGCTTGTAACTCGACTCTGCGTTAACCGATTTCGATGGAATTTTCAGCACGAACATGAGTTACCGAGATATAACAAAACGAAGTTTTAAAATTTTTGTCACATACTCGGACAAGAAAGTTAGGAAACTCGAGGTTTCATTTTTCGTTGTCATTCCAACAACTAGCAAAATTTTAAAAAAGTATTTTAGTCACGCTACAGTAAACGAGTCCCTTTAACATTGAAACAAAAAAATTCAAGCCATTTAGTCGTTTTAAAACGGTTATACCGTTTGAGAGGGTGTCCACATATATTTGTCGTCCACTGTGTATTCGTTTGTCTGAGGAATTTTATTGTCTTTTACGCGGTCCTGGGGCGATGTTCCGCTTTACGTTGAACTTTTGTCTTTGCGGTTCTGTTACTCTGCGCTCGTACAGCATGCGATCTATCGTTTGATCGTATTTCATTGGGCCCTAACGAATCTCGGGATTTCGAATCGGTTTTTGTAGACACCGGCTTCACGCAGTCTGCGTGCTTTTTCTTGGATCACCCCTCGCGGCAAGTTCCTGCTGCTGCCGGTCGCCGTTAAAGTCCCAATAAATCAAGCACCCCCCAACCCCCTCCCCCTCCCACCGATGTCGATAATTTTCGCGTGATATGTGAGCCCCATGATATACTGCAAATGGATTTTCGTCGAGGTATTTCGATGGGTATTACCGGACGGAGTCCGGCTTTCGAAACTTGCCAATTGTTGAAGTTCGGTTTTCCATGTCACTCACAGGTGGTTCCTTCCGCCGCTCTCCGTTCTCTCTCTCTCTCTCCCTCTTTTTTTCCACGCCGAATGACAGCTCCACCTTTTTGTCATTGTGCCGCGATGGAGTTCGTTTCCGAACCGTCTGTCAAAATTAATAATCTTCGGGCTCGTTTAAACGAGGGCTCCGACTCTTCCGGAGAATTCAATCTCTGGAACGACGAAGATGCATTCATCCCGTTTCTTCGATACTATTATACAATCTTGATCGATGAGGGTTCAGAGCTTGTTAAGAAGTTTCCTTTTGTGTACCGAGTTTCATGGAATGCTGCAGTATCGCGTGAACCGCTTCTCATTTACGCCGGCATGCTCGACGGCGAACAGTCGTTAAAATAAATCCCTGCCGATTTGCATAATAAATTATACGTCGTTCTAGTCGTTCGAATGATTCGTATAACGAAGCGGCTTTCGCGTTAGAACTTCGAGAATGTACGCAAGTTCGCGTAAAAACGTGTGCTAAATTATTTGTTCGAGGCGTCTGTACATCGCGAAGGTTTATTTAACACCGTTTCGTCGGACCGTCCGAGCAGAGTGTTAACCGGAACCCGAATGAATAGGATCGTGAAAGCTTTCATTTGTCGGAACAACTTATTGGAAGTGAAACATTATGCCGTGACGGATGTAACCGTGGAACGCGACACGGCGGCTCGCTAGGTATATATTTGCAGTCTCCTGTTCGTTTAAAAATATACGAGATTTCGAGGGGGGCGTTGTAACGTTCGCGATCGTGCTTTTGAAATTGTAAAATTCTCATTTCGCTCGGTCGTCAGCCTTTTTTACAGCGTTTTTATTCGAAAGTTTGCATTAAATCCCGTGTTCCCGGCACTCCGCGATGTTCCCCTCGTTAAAGTGTGCAGCACGACTTTCCCCCAAGTGCCGCGATTCTTCGCGCGACGCGATCTTTCAGCGTATTTAAATCGAAGGGGGAACGGGTCTCGCGGAAATAAATACTGTTTACCGCTCGGTGCGTTTGTTCGCCGTTCGAACTGGTAGAAATGAAGCGAAGGTGACGGAGCATCCGCACGGTCGCATTTTCAATGGCGAAACTCCCGATGTAATCTGCCCGATCGAGAGAAACGGCCGGCCGTCCGCGCGATGATTTCCATTTTCCTGGAGCGATTCATCGGCAATAACACCTCCCATTTTGTCTCCGCGCTTCCCGCACTTCGGAGACATTTAATTGCCACTGCAGTGCGCAAGATCTAACCGCCGGGAAAAACGGGTTCAGATTTATCGTGCGTGGCTCGTTTTACGGTGGCTAAAGGGAAATTCGAAGGAGGAAACGGCAAATTTTAATAAACCGTGACGGTCGGACGTAGAACGTTGGCGAAACCGTAGTAGACGTTCGAGCAACACAACGCGATCCGAATTGAATTAACTTCGTTCGTTAATGTAGAACCAATGAAATTCCGACACGTGGCGAAGAATCTACGAAAGTATTCTCTATAAGACAGAGGCGCGATGAAAATATGCAGGCGCCGGTGCATCCCCGGCGTTTCCGTATTAAACTTCGCTAACGATGATATAAGTAGCACGATTTTAATCAGGAGAGCTACTCGACGGGAGATAGCGTTCACACGACGATTCTTGTATCGCTATACCGATCTCGTGAACCTCGCGAAATTCCGCCTCCGCGATATGCACTTTACGAGTGAAATTGGCGGATGAAACACTGAAGCGTGCGATTTCGCGCGAGCGTGTATCGCGAATAATTATTTAACATTCGGACGACGCGGTTCGGTGATAAGTCTATGATTTCGGAACGGAAAGGGAGAATGCATGGAGAAATGTAATGATTGATATGTACAGTCTTTTTTATTTCTTTTTATTATTTAAAACTATAACATGTTCGCAGCATTGTCAGTTGACAGTTTTTCGAAAAATACATGAAACGATACCTTTCAATGCTATTTATGGGATGAGTCGAATGTTTCCTAATTGCTTTTTTTTATTGCGTCTTTTATGTAATATCCAAATATATAATATTTCAAAAATATGAAATAATGCGGAAAGATATTTTTAATCGAAGAATAAATAATCAACAGTTGCTCACGAAAGCGTTGCAGCACCGTTTAAGGCAGCACAACTTTTTAAAAATTGGACCAAATGAATGTGTGCATCTTGTAATGCAAGTACTATAACGATACTTCTATTGCATACATATGTACATGTGTCATCGCGTGAAAGAGATCTTAGTATAACTAGCATTATTTATAATTTTATTTATCAATTTTTTTAATGCACTCCTAAGCACACCAATTTTATTACAAATTTTAACGAAACATGCGGAAATTTAAATTAATTGTCGGAAACTAGATACGATCAAATAACGATATCTATAATCTGGGTCCAAATGGATCCGGACCTGGCCGTTCGAGTGTTCACACTAGATTTACGAAACCTGTCAAAATGACGTTTCACTAATTTCTTAATTTTTTGTTTTATTCAATATACGCATTACTTCCGGCTAATATTACAGTAACGCTCGTTAAAAACCCAAAGTGAATGTTTTTTGCAAACTAATATAATACAGCTGCTTTTAGTGCACCGTAACTCCTGTGTGTTAAACAAACGGACAAGCGCTCGTTCATTTAACTTCGTCGCAAACGTTGAAAGTGTAACCGTCGAAAAAACGCCGCAGAAGAAGCAAATTACTTCATCCGTCTGCTCTCGCGGATTGCGACCTAACGCGATATTAGTTTGAAACATTTCCACGAGCCGGCAAATTGCGTGTAGATGCACGTACATAGGATCGCGCGACCGCGGCGGGCATGTGTGCGAGTAGGTGTTAACGCAAATGGCGAGCAGAAAGTCAACCGTGCTTTTAGCCTAGGAAAATCGGCGACCGCGGCTCTCATTATTCCATTTGTCGTCGGAAAGTTATTTGCACCCACGGAATTAGATCGGCGGCGGCCCGGAATAAAATTTATTGTCCCCTGACGTTTCGCTATCGCCGCGGTTGACAATCCTAGAAAAGTGTTCGGCCGCGTCGCGCAACGTAACGCGCCGATAACGATCTGGGAAAAACGAAACAAAGCGAAAACGCTTCCGTGTCATGCTCGAAGAAGCAAACTTTTAATGCCATCGATAGATAAATAACGTAACCTGCGCTTCGTAAGTACCTTTTCCAGCGATGGAAATTTTGCTTCCTTGTTGTTTCGGTGTACAAGAACGGAGACTTTCTCACCGTGACATTTCTGGCCA